TGTGTGTGTGTGTGTGTGTGTGTGTGTGTGTGTGTGTGTGTGTGTGTGTGTGTGTGTGTGTCACTCACTAACACACACAGTGATCCATTCATCTGTGGCCTGGCACCCAGATAGGGGGTCCGGTTGAGAAAGACAGAGACTGAGAGAGACTGTTCGGACCCTGCACAGTGACTCAATGCTAGCTGTCTGCCTGGCACAGATTAGATCAACACTGATGAATATTCAGAGGTCGGCCATCGCTGCCAGAATGGCCTACATTTCAACTGAGGCAAGACATCGGAGTCTGTCTTCTGTCACTTCACACGTAAGACTCGACTAGACAGCCTTCACAAAGTCTGAAGGAATCACATCATTTTTCCGTCCTTTTCCCTGGCCAGATAACTGCAGTGGTGAAAAAATCAAATCAAAGATGTTTTTTTCATGTATCTAAAGTTGAACCAAGTCTGATGTAAAAGGAACTGATCCCAACTAACTAACAATAATTCTGCTCCGTGAAACGAGGGCAGACAGTTTGTATTTGCTGACTCGTTTCCATAGGAGCCAGGTCTGAAGTCATGACACTATTAATGTTCCAGGGGTGACCTAGAGGCCGATCCTCCAGCATTATACTCTAAGTGTACTCTGTTAGAGGACCCACTACTGTGTGTTGCACAGTTTCCTCCCTGAAACACAAATTTTCAGACAAAGACAGGAACTGTGCTGATCTAAACTGCAGCAACCCGGAAGAGTGTGTTTGCTTTGGAGTTTGGTGGAACGTCTAAGGAGGTAAAGGGCATCTCTGATATGAGCCTCTGCGTAGACAAAACCACAAAACAAACCACGCTTTGCCAAAGACACTCGCAGAATGAGGCGGCTGATAACGATCAGTATATGTTCAAAATACACAGACCTTTTATTGAGGAGTATTTTTAGGTTTTTCTATTTGTGTGGAACATATGAACAGATTGGGGAGTGGGAACAACACATGCCTCCAAACGTATGTTTTTTTGTCAGGCTTTGCTTTTGTCATTTTGTCGCAGTGGACAGATAAAGTCACATCAAAGATTTTTCCACAACATTAACTAAATTAAAATAATATATTTTGAGAAAACAAAGACATTATTTGTGAGTGACAGCAAAAAACATGTTTGTCACTGACATTTCTAACTTGATCTGGCTTTTTCCATCTCTGTGGTGCAGATTTTTTATTTTGTTTTGTCGTGATTCACTGTTCCAAATGGAGATTTTGCATCAACATCTTTTATCTTGTCGAATTCGAGCTGAACTTTCTGAGGATGTTGTCGTTGTCGTTCCCTGGCTGAACTTTTCCCGTCTCTTCCTCTCTCCAGGATGGTTCTCTGGGCAACATAGATGACCTTGCACAGGAGTACTCTGAGTACTACAACACCTGCTTCAGTGACGTCAACGATCGTATGGAGGAGCTGCGCAAACGACGAGTTTCCCAAGAGCTCGACATGGTAAATGCACACACGCACACACTCACACACACACACACACTACAACAACAACAACAACAGCCTTTCTCCCTCTCTCCTCAGCCCACAGGCCCACAGATTGCTTCAAGCATTTTTTTGCAAATCCGTTAATAATGACCCTAAAAACCCTCTTTTAGAGCACCGTGTAATTTCCACATACTTAACCAACAACCTGGCACAGACAAATAGCAACAGAGGGAATATGAATGTGTGCTAAGGTTTAAAGGTTCAGTATGAAGGATTTCGGTTGCATGCAGTGGTGCGGGTGCAGATCGCAGCCAACTGCAAACCCCTCACCTCACCCTCCCCTTAGTAGTGTGCAGGAGAACCCATGATTGTCTTCTGGTAACATGAAAACAAGAAAAGGTCTGTTTAGAGTTCCAATTCTGGGAAATATGAAATTGCAACATGTTAGACTGAAAGGAAAAGGGCCCACTCTCAATTTGAATGTAAAGGTCTTGTCCCTGAATCCTACACACTGGACCTTTTTAAGACTTTCACCAAAGGCAGAACGGCTTCTCCGGATGTGAACGCGGTGTTGTTGTGGAGGCTCATCATGGGGGAGTTTTAGGTCCTTTTCATAAGGATGTAGGGTAGTGGGGCACCCCTCTGGTTGCCAAGCTGCAGGCAAACGTTAGAAGGAATGCTGCTGGTGCCGCCACAGAAGGCCCACATGCAAAACCAGAGCGAGTGCTGAGTGCTATGCTAACTTCATATGATTTATTCATGGAGTTGAAGTTGTTTGAAGCCTTAGAAAACAAATAAATACAAACAAATAGCCTCTTCACAATCCTTTTCCCATTGACGCTACAGCTTAAGTCATCTTCAAAATCTATTGTTGAACTTAAATAAAATAAGGAAGTTAGATGTTACAAATATAACACAGTCACTTGACACAATCACGACACTTCCTCCACAGACTGAGCTCAAATTGATATCATGTTACCTCAGGTTTTCTTTTTTTAGCCTGAGTTCAAATAGTTTCTTTATTTCTGTCTGTCATTACTGCTCTTCCAGTTTAGCCGGAGGCCTCCTGCACTTGAAGACAGGCCATATGGTTTTGGTTGGGCTGACAGGTATAGCTCGGGTCGATAGCTGATTTATTTTGCCCTTTCCTTTAATGACTGCAGACGACAGACATCCTGTTCTCACAGCTCGCAGGGAGAGGGCCAGGTAGATGGATTTTTACGTTCAATCATAGGTTAAACATTTTATCTGTGTGGCTGCAGACTTCGATCTTTTCTTTGTCCCCATCACGTGAGCTTTCCAGTTACAATATGGAATATCTCTGGTTGAAAACTTCGGGAAGGTCTCGTCCCGAGGAGATAAAACAGGTGAAGAGGAAGCAATTGGGACAGATTTTTGCAGGCTGCGTAGAAGAAGAGAGAAAAAGAGCTGAGTGGGTCCTGAGCCTGAAGCCCAGCACATAGGAGGAGGATAAGGATGTGAACAGAGGAAGACGAAGGGAGGAGGATGAGGGGAATGAAGAGGAGGAGTGAGAGCCTGCAGCTGTCCCGCCACTCTGCAAAGTTTGGCACCAACAGAAAGGAGGAGAGGTGGAAAAAGACATGAAGGAAGGAATATAGGTCAGACAACACCTTACTGAGAGCTCTCAGAAGCGCAGCATCAACCCACGCTGTATTGAGTGAACTTTGCCTTGCATTTTGGTCCAGTACCTTCTCTAAATTTAGCTTTTGCAGCCTTTTTCACTACCAAATCTCCTGAGTTGTGCAAAATCGTTGATTTTTTTATTTTTCCACCAGACTCGACGTCGTCATGGTCTCAAAGGCTGTGGCACAGTATCTGTAAAACTAGATTAAAAAAAATGTGATTTATATACCGGAGGAGACGAAGAGAGAGATGAGCAGAGCACAAGAGGCTCACAGCGGAATGAACACCCCAGTCAGAAAGAGCAGCGAATGACCACTGCAGCTTGTAAAGTGTGTCCAGAAATCTGTGGCTGCAAGGCAATGTCATGCAGCTGCCTCTCCGGGGGCCGAAAGCAAATGGTACGAGAAAGTCAGAATGTCTGAGAAGCCACGTTAACGGGGAGACGTGAAGCAAGTGGCCCTCCCGAGGGACGTGGCCTTTAGGGAGAGACCTGTCACTTTTAAAGGGTACAGGATGGTGGTGGAGCAATCAGGCCTCCGCAAGAACAACTCCCTCTCCGGTCTTTGTATTTTTTTGGGTCTGTATAAAAAAAATGATAGGTCACATCTTTTCTGTTGTTGACAGAGCAGCTTAATCCTTTCACAGCTCTTGACTTTTTTGGGGGGGAATTGGTCATTCCCAGTTAATCCAGATGATCTCTGGTCAGTAGACTTACGAGTTTGAGAGCAAAGTTCAGCCTAACTTTGACCTTTTCTGGGTTCGCACTCAAATGTTAAGAAGAGGCAGAGGTTAAGAAACAGGAGGTCACAGGACAAGGTCAAACACATACGAGAGAAGGGCAAGGTTCACGTTTGATGACTTATATGAAGGACTTAACTTTGCATGCTGACAATCACATTTGGTAGTTTGTTTATGGAGAACTCCCACAAGCTTTGGTCAGAGTGGTAGCCCCAAAAAGAAAGGAGAAGAGCGCTTTTTAAACTTTCTGTTCTCCAAAATCTTCTCAGGTCAGCAAGTGGGTTTATTAAAACTTTGTGAAAGTAAAACAATGTATTTTCCCATTGCACAACACTTCTGCTAGCTCGTGGTCAACCTCTCACTTGTCCGACTCTGCTGTGGTTGAATGTGAAGCTCTCTATCAGTAGCCGATGATAGAGGCTCTCTAAGAGATGACTATCGGTGTGCCCGCTTCCTGTTTGGTTTCAGATCGGTTATTTCTCTACATCTTCTTGTTGGTTTTATGTGAAGCAGGGACATTAGGGGTTAAACCAACATCCTCCTCTTTGGGAATGTGACCATATGGATTAGCGCTGCCATGCGCAGTTTCCCAGCGCTTCTATGGACAACAAGCATTGGGATGGCTCTCGCTGCCATGCTGAATTGGTGATGTACACGGCTTATTGTTGGAAGTGACAGGAAGTATTGAAAAGGAGCAACGAGTTCAGCAACTTCAACAAAACATGTTGATTCAAGTGACAGATCAGTGAAGGGTCACTCCAAAGAGTAAAGATTACCATTAAGCCCTGAGCTATGAAATTCCAGTTCATCCTTTGAGCTGGTTTATCTTTTGGACAATTGATGGTGTGATTGCTGTCAATATAATTTGTATAAATAGGTGTATAATCCTAGTTTCTTCTATCTATTTAACAAATTACAAACCATCAAGCATGACGTGAGTCTGTTTACAAGCATATAATTTGATTTCCACACATAATTACAGACTTTATAAGTTTATTCCAACTTCCTCTTAATGTTGAGCCTTTCAGGAACTTTCTGTCGCCACGTGTCTTTCATAGAAAATACTTTTGTGCTATCTGTGCTCCTCATACTAGTAAATCTTATAATTTGGAATAGGTTTATCAGTTCAGGCAAAATTTTAAAGCTTTTCTATTCTATTATTTCTATAAAGACACCTCCTCTGCCAGACTCAAGCGTTCCCAACATTTTTAATTCACTATATCCGGATTTTTATTTGGATCTGCACTAATTCGCACACACTTATGATCAGTGCCCTAAACATGCAGGACTTTTTTCATCAAAATGCATGAATCATTGGATGAGAAATCAACAAAAATGTTTGAATTGAAAACATTTTCCTGGATCCGCAGCCTGATCTGGACAAAATTAGATAGGTTCTTTCTTGGGTCATGCCCCAGCCTTCCAAATGGACTCAGAAGCCAGAGGAAGGATGTGCAGTGATCTGAAGACATGTAGTGACTGGTTGGTGGATAATTGTGAATGGCCGAGGGGGGAATACATCAAACTAGATGTTATCGTCTCTCTCAAACCACTGTGATTTAACAGATAAAGTACATTTCAATAAAGATATGCATCATTTTGGAATTTGTGCTTGTAAGAGGATCAATTTAACACATTTCTACATGCTGTGAATCATAATGAGACATCGCAGCATTATTGCTGTAAATGTCCTTCGGGGTCATTTTAAGATTGCGGGCAATAAACAGGCTGTGAAGATTAATCCCCCAAAATCCCTCAGTCACTGTTGACTTCATAATTGAAACACTTCAGAGGGAGAACAGCCTCAGCTGGTGTCAGCGCTCCCCTCCGGAATGCTCTGTTATGGTTTTCTAGCTGAGTAGCTCGACAGTCGGGGGTCAAGACTCAAGTAAAGACTCGTGTTTTGTTTTGCCACGAGGTGAGGAACAGTGTGTGGTTGATGTGCTGACGCCTGCATGAAAGCTCTCCTGTCAAAGTGGGTCAGTTCAGCTGGGTTAAAACTACAGTGCAGAAGAAAGACAAGCTAAGTTGTGAATTCTGCTGATTATTTATTCTTCCCATTCTTCAGGGTTTTGCTTAGAAATGTCGCAAGTCAACATGCTCAGACAGCAGGGTGTGTTGCTAAAAGATTACTTTCAAGCGATGTGTGCATAGCGACATTATTGGAATAACCCTTGTGGAAAGCAAGTGGTATATTTGTAATTGTACTGTATGATTTATTAGTCTGTATTTGGATCCCGGCTGTCATTGGAATTTGTAATAAGTTTGGTATTTGTCTTGAAATACCAAAACAATAATGATCCACAAGAACCAGGAATGCTCCGCACTGGCACGCAGGCCCGCTGTGCTGCAAGAATGCACACACACATGCACACACTCTCTAAACTTCTGGTGTGACTGGTAGTTTTCTGTCCCTCATAGATTAATTTATGGAGCAGCTCAGACATGACACACACAGACAGGTTTACGCTGCCCACTGAGATAATGAATTTCCCTGTTTTGCATGTGCGTGCATTCATAAGCGAATGCGTGTCGATCCAAATGAGCCAGTTCTGCAGGATTACACCGTGGCCTACCGGTTCCACCCCTAACGTCTTTTTCAGGCATTCCAGCTGGTGCCCGTCCCTCACCATGTGCAGTCCCACCTAGCAAAACTCGCCCACCCAGTTTTATTTAACCATTCCAGTTGGCATAAATCCACTAAGCCACCTGGACTCTAGTTTTGCCGCATACATGCCTACGTTTTTCTCTGAGGTTGGCAGTAGCTTTGCTGTGGGAACTCATGTCTGTGGTGGGCCCTGCAGTCGTGTTTGGACCAAACTGCTGCTATTCAGCACTCATGTGTATTTCCATCCTTTCCCTCTCATTAACAGAATCTGCTCCTGTAGCAGCAAAACAGAGTTTAGCTGTAGTTTCTGGGTTAATGATGGAGAGCAATGCAGTGATTAGACTTACAGTCACTTTCCCGTGTGTGTGTGTGTGTGT